ATGTTCTCATTACTAACTTTGAAGTCATACTTTAAAAAATCAAATAAAGGCTTAGCTTTATGCCTGGGACATAGTAAGTGCTTCCTAAATATTGGAGTAGCAATATCCAAATACACTCACCACAATTCAGAAGTGCTCAGATATCTTGCTCAACAGTAGGATGGAAAAGGGAAACTGCCAATTTAATGAGAACTTTTTTCCAGTGTAAAATAATCCTTTTTCATGAACTCTCTGCCTACCGCTATGTCTTCAAGGTTTTTGCCTACTTTCTCTTCCAGTAGATTTAGTGTTTCTGTTTTAATATTGAGATCTGTGATCCATTTTGACTTGAGTTTGGTGCATGGTAATAGACTTGGGTCTATTTTCAGTCTTTGGCAGGTGGCAAGCCAATTTCTCCAGCACCATTTATTAAAGAGGCTATCGTTCTTCCAGTGAGTTTGTTTGGCCCCTTTATCAAAGATTAGGTGGCTGAGTGTGTTTGTGGTTGTGGCTGTTTCTTCCAGTCTATTCCATTGACCCTCAGGTCTTTTTTTTAGCCAGTACCAGATTGATTTTATTACAGTAGCTTTGTAGTATAATTTCAGGTCAGGGATTGTGATTCCACTTGACTTGTCCTTATTGCCAAGGATTGCTTTTGCTATTCTGGGTCTCTTCTGGCTCCAGATGAATTTAAGGAATATTTTCTCTAGATCTGTGAGGTATGCTAGTGATACTTTGATTGGGATTGCATTAAAGGTGTGTAAGTTTGGGGAGTATGGTCATTTTCCACAAAGCTGGTTCTTCCTATCCATGAGCAAGGGATATCATTCCATTTTCCTTTTTTTTTTTAATATCTTTTTTTTGTCATTCCATTTTCTGATATCCTCTTCGAACTCTTTTTTTTCAGAGTGCTATGATTTTCAATGTATAGATCTTTTATTTCCTTTGTTAAATTGATTCCTAGGTATTTCATTTTTTTAGATGCTATTGTGAAGGATGTGGTTTCCCTAATTTCTCTCTCAGTCTGTTTGTTGTTTGTGTATAAGAATGCTATTGATTTTGGGGTGCTGACTTTGTATCCAGCTACACTGCTGAATTTGTTGATTAATTCAAGGAGCCTGTTTGTGGAGTTTTGGGGGCCTTCCATGTAAAGTATCATGTCATCTGCAAATAGTGATAATTTCACTTCTTCCTTTCCTGTCCTTATTTCTTTTATTTCTCTCTCTTGTCTAATTGCTCTGGCTAATATACAGAATAGTTAACATAGTTGAACTACTGTCTTCTATTTCTTTGCTGAAAGAAACAGTTAACGATTCCTTGATTGATCAGTACTGCATGTCTCTATTTGTTTTCCTAAGAAATCACTTTGAAGATATAAATATGTAATACAACAAGCATTGTTAATTTCCTACCACTTTGTAACTCTGTATTGTTTGTATTGTTCTTTTGCTATTTTGTAAATGGTTGTGTTTGTTAATGTTTTCCTTCTTTTATTTTTAAAATTAAAAAATTATAATAATAATCCTTTTTCTCCAAGTCTTTTCTCCTGCCTAGTTTTTCCCTTTGTCCCAGAAGGTTGTCTGAGCAAGGAGAAGTGTGACGGACATGACAGTGACAGCAAGGGCCCGGCACCCACGGACTCCCTTTGCTGCGTGCCCATCTTGTCTGCTCTTTGAGCACCAGCCTCCTGCTCTGTTGACTCTGCTGCCAGCGCGGTGCACTGGGCTCTACAGTCTAGCTCTAGATGGAGCTGCTGATTCTCTGAATCTTAGCAGCACCCTCCCAGTGTGGCGCAGGACCCTACGAAACTACACTACGTTCCCTCGCATTCCAAGGCAACTAGGAGAGCTGTGAATTCTTAGGTACCTTGTTATATTCTGCTGTGAGGAAGAGGAAAATAAGAAAGTACAACATGGGAGGGTACTTGCCATATGCCTGGCTCCCCACAGGTATTTCCACTTTGTACGGTGATCTCCCCAGCCAGTTCTCACAAGCCAGAAAGACAGGCATTTTACTTGGAAGTTCTCATCGAGCCTTAGGGGTGTGAACGGAAAGCCCTGAGCCCCAGTGAAGCTCTATATGGAGACAGAACCCTAATGTAAAGTTAAAGACCAGGCAGTAAAATTAAAAGGGGATACAGGCATAGGGCCCTAATTCAGTAGAATCAGTGTCCTTATGAAAGGAGGAAGAAACACCAGAGCTCTTGAGCTCTCTGTCGCATACACAGAGAACTTGTGATGAACCACACGGAGAGAAGGCAGCTCATTACAAACCAGGAACACAGCCTTCACCAGAAGCCAAATGGTCTGCCCGGGGACTGCTCATCTTGGACTTCAGGCCTCCAGCATTGTGAGAAAGCATCTGTGTTTCAGCCATCCAGCCTGTGCTACTTTGTTACAATAACAGGAGAGGACAAGCACAGAGACCTGCTCCGGGAACGCAAGTAGATGGTCACCGATGCATTCCCACTTCTGAGTGTATCTGAGGTCCAGTGTCCTCTCTGATACCTCCGGCATTCCTGGCACTCACTGTCCACTGGAGTTAAAATCCCGTTCTTGTCCCTTCCCTCATCTGCTAAGACCAAGTTCCAGCTTTCCTTGTATGTGCCCTTCATTCTGAGTCTTACATTTCTTTCAGTATCTACCATGCCATTCCACTAGACCAGGAACCCCCTTTTTTTTTTAATGGGGGTCTTACTGTGTTGCCCTGGCTGGCCTTGATCTCCTCAGCTCAAATGATCTTCCTTCCTCAGCTTCCTGAGTAGCTGGGACTATAGACATGTGTCACCAGAGTGAACATCAGAGAGATTTTTTTTTTTTTGAGGCAGAGTCTCGCTGTGTAGTTCAGCCTGGCCTTGAACTCACAGGGATCCTCCTGCCTCGGCCTCCTGAGTGCTAGTATTACAGGTGTACACCACTATGCCCTGTTCAGAGAGTTCTTTAACCGGTTGTTTTCATGCCATTTCTTCTTTGATGGGCTCGAAGCAGCTTCAGGACACAGACTGTGAATTTTATGTACACGGAATGGGGGCGGGGGGACACAGTAAAGAAGGAGGAGGGGCTGGGGATTTAGCTCAGCGGCAAAAGCGCCTGCCTGG